CGGCCTGAGGGGCGCGAAGGCGGGCTTGTTGGGCGGGGCCAAGGCGCGGGGACACGTGGGGGGCGGGGCCACGGCGACCTAGAGAGCGTGAGTGCCGGCTAGGAGGCCTGAGGGGTCCGGCGGCTGGGAGGGGTGCTGAGCGGTGTCCGAAGTGCTGAGAAGCTCGCAGAGCGCGGGGCGAGTCAGCAGGAACAGCCCTGGGACCCCAGGCGCTGCCCACAGCCGCCCCCGCCCCGTCCTGAGCCCTGAGCGGTACCAGCGAGGAGAACGGCGTCCCGCCCAGGAGTCCAGCGTGCTGCTCTCACTTTCTCATCAGCTTCGGGGCGGGCCCGCAGGAGGCGATTCTTTGTCAGGCAGCTAGCGGTCCTAGGCAAAACAAAATTATTCGAGGCAACTCCGTCCAAATCGAACCCTTAATTGTCAATCTTTGCAGGTTGATGCCCGCCCTGGGACAGACGAGGGCCGCAGGACAGGCCCTCCAGAACTCTGCCAGGCGGTTTGCTGCAGGAAGAGGGGTGAAGTGAGCAGGCGTGTGGGTGGGCATGGGACAGGAGCGGTGCATGAATCGCATTTTGAACCTTTTACAGGTTGGTTTTTGGTTTTGTGTTTAATATTGGAAAGATCACCCTGACAGCAGTAGGAAGGGTGGGTTTTTGGAGAGGGCATGGTAATGTTAAACCTGGTACAGAGAGGCTTCCTTGGAGGTGTTTGCAATAATTGCAGGAAGGAACAGGTCAGGGAAAGTTGGGAGGTGAAATCAGTGGAGTCTAGTGACAGTGGATGAAAGGTGTGAATGAGAGAGAATGGAGGGTGACTCCTGGGTTTCTCATATAGGAGAACAAGTGAGTAATTAGTTGGTGGTAACATAGCCACAGGGGATGCAAGAGGAAGAACAGGTTTGGGGAAGGAAATGAGTTCAGTTTGGGACTTGTAATTATCTACACTAATAAAAGAGAAGCATGCAAATTAGCATCACTCCGCTACGCCCACCAGCCAATCAGAGCAACTATGAAAATTAACCCAACAAAGATGGCAGTTAATTTGCATACACAGGTACAGAGTGAAGACTGAAGACTTCTTCGCTGCGGCCGGACCAAAGGCCTGGGTCCCGGGTGCTGGAGGAAAACCGGTGCCAACAGCCAGGGGAAGGAAGGCCTATTGCGCGAATCTTCATGCAACAGGCTTCTAGTGTAATAATAAAAGGGTAATATGCTAATTAGACCAGACGTCTTCCAGACATCATTCTGGATGTCCTTTCTGATGAAGCTGGGGCCGGAGGGAAGGTAGCTGGGTCCCAGATGCCTGCAGGTGACCCAGGGGAAGCCAGCCCGGGTCCCGAGTGCCGGAGGGAAGCCGGTGCTGGCAGCCGGGAGAAGAAAGGCCTACTCTTGCATGAATTTTCATGCATTGGTCCTTTAGTGACATTATAATAGGATATTTAAGTTGAGGTGTCTGCCCTGCCAGTGTGGCTCAATGATTGAACATGGACCCAGCAACTGAGAGGTCATGGTTCGATTCTGGTCAGGGCACATGCCCAGGTTGTGGGCTCGATCCCCAGTGTGGGGCATATACAGGAGGCAGTGGATCGATCAATGATGTTTCTCTCATTGATGTTTCTCTCTATACCTCTCCTTTCCTCTCTCTCTAAAAATCAGTAAAAAACATATTGAGGTGTCTAAACAGCTATTTTATATATAAGTGCAGAAAATGTATACCCAAGCAAGAATAACAAATACATACACATATATGTCATAGGCATATTATCAATAAATTGAAACATTGGGGAAGGATCGTTGATTAAGAAAACTTACATGTTCTCCTGGGAGAAGATGCCACCTAGGCTTTCATAGCCAGAGCCAAGCAGTCCATGCTGGCTGAGAGCTTTGAAGGACAGGCCCATGGTGTTGCCTGACAGGAATGGCCTCCGCAGCATGTCCGGGGGGTTTGTGAGGGGTTCAGGCAGCTGGTGACTTGAGTTGAAGACAGTGCTCACTTACTATTCTAAAAATCCTAGGGTCTTGAAGAATTGTGCTACATGTCCTCTGCCTTTGCTGTATACATGGAACATCAAGCCTGGATAACAGCACACCTGTTGTAAGTAACATGGTTGCTGAAAATTTACATCCACGGCCCTAGCTGGTTTGGCCTAGTGGATAGAGCATTGGCCTGCATACTGAAGGGTCCCAGGTTTGATTCCAGCCAAGGGCCACATGCCTGAGTTGCAGGCTTGATCCCCTGTAGGAGGCGTGCAGGAGGGAGCTGATCAGTGATTCTCTATCATCATTGATGTTTCTATTTCTCTCTCCCTCTTCCTTCCTCTCTGAAATCAATAAAAATATATTTAAAAAAGAAAGAAAATGTATGTCCACAGCTGAGACCTACTTCTCAGAATAAAAGATTCCTTTCAAAATATTCCTGCTCACTAACAAGGCACATGGTCACCCAAGAGCTCTGATGGAGATGAACAAGGAGATCAATGTGGTTTTCATGACTGCGAACACAACATCAATTCTGCAGCCCATGGATCAAGGAGCACTTTCAACTTTCAAGTCTTATTATTTACAAAATACATTTGGTAAGGCTACAGCTGCCATAGATAGTGGTTCCTCTGATGGATCTGGGCAAAGTAAACTGAATACCTTCTGGAAAGGATTCACCATTCCAGATATCATTAAGAACATTCACGATTCATGGGAATAGGTCAAAATATCAACATTAATATCAACATTAACAAAGTTTGGAAGAAGCTGATTTCAACCCTCATGGATGCCTTTGAGGGGGTCAAGACTTCAGTGGGGGGAGTAACTGCAGATACGGAGACATCAAGAGAACTGGCATTAGAGCCTGAATATGGGACTGAATGGCAGCAATCTCATGATAAAAGTTTAATGGATGAGAAATTGCATCTGAAGAATAAGCAACAGCAGTGGTTTCTTGGGGAGGAATCCATTCCTGGTGAAGATGCTGTGAAAATTGCTGAAGTGGCAACAAAGGATGTAGAATATTCCAAAACTTAGTTGATGAAGCAGCAACAGAGTTTGAGAGGATGGACTCCAATTTTGAAAGAAGTTCTGTGGGTAAAATGCTGTCAAACAGCCTCACATGCTGCAGAGAAGTTGCTCATGAAAGGGAGAGTCAGTCGCTGCAGCAGACTTTAGTACTGTTGTATTTTGAGAAATTGCCAACCTTCAGCAGCCACCAACCCTGGTCAGTCAGCAGCCACCACGTCAAGGCAAGGACCCTCCATCAGCAGAAAGATCAGGACTCGCTGCAGGCTATGGTCAGCATTTTTTAGCAACAAAGAATTTTTAAATTAAGGTATGTTTATTATACACTGTTTATTAGACATAATGTATTGTGCATTTAATATCTATAATAGATCATAAACTTTTATATGCCCTGGGAAAACAAAAAAATTGAGTTACTTGCTTTAATGAGATATTCACTTTATTGCAGTGGTCCAGAACCAAGCAAAAAAGTGAAACACAGAATTTATTCTTGTATTATTTTTTATTAATCAGTGTATTATTTTCCATACAAACAACTATAAACCTACCTTTGTCCCAGCCTATAATCAAATGAGATTTCAAATGAATAGGAAAATAATGGATTATTTAATATATAATGCTATTACAATTAGTTGACCAATAAGATAAGAAATAATTTAGATTCTTATTTCATACCTTACATCAAGTATATTATAAATAGATATGAAATCTACATTTTTAAAATGAAACCATGAAAATACTAGAAAAAATAAGTTAATATTATATATAAAGAAATATATGTTCTTAAACATGAAAACTTCAGAATAAGATCTCAAGGCAATTTTGGAAATTACATCTTATTTTTTTAAAAAATGGAATATAACAAGGTAGTTTTTTAACAATAATCTTTATTACTGTACTTTCATAGGTACATGTAATCCTGAGCTACCACATTTATGTAGTTACTAGAGGCAAAATCGCGCGAGATCCCAGACCCACTGTGCCAGCAGGACCCAAGACCCGCCATGCCGCAAGACCGAGACCCGCAGCGCTGGGAGACCCATCAATGCACCTCCTGGTGACTGGTCATTTGGTCATTATGGCATTACAGCGTTACGGCCACTGGCCATTTATAATACAGATCATTTACTCTTTCAAGTTTACATGTATTTTCTTCCAAATTGTTTGATGAGCACATTTTTGTCCTAATCGGGAACATAAATAAATTAACATGTTGTTCTTGTCCCTGGAAGAGCCAATTAATTCACTCAGATCATCTAATTCTAATTCTGCTTTAAGGGCTTTAGAACATTGTTTTTCAACTAAGCAATTTCTTTTTCATCCTAGTGAATTCTTTGAAAACTGTTGTTTTTTGTCTGTAATCTATTTTCATGAATAAATTTTTGATTACTTGAACAGCTATATTTGAGAAAAATGGTAAGAGTAACTGCTTCTACTCTCAACATATTAGCTAGTGTAAAATGCACAGGCTCCCTTCACACAGAAGTTCCCAAAATGCACAGACTCCCTTCACACAGAAGGTCCTATTGATGGTCCCGATAGGAAACATTTACCATGTTTAATGAAGAAGAGGTCAAGCAAATGTACATATATCTTTGTTTAAGTGGTTAAGTATTATAAAACATGTTATTTAAAATGCTTTCTTCAGGCATTATAAAGAAATACATACAGAAATACATTTATGATTTTATGACATTAAAGTCATAAATCTAGACCAGAACTTATATAATTGGCAAATAAAACAACAGACAAAAATAAAAGACAAAAGTCCTGTGATCTCTGAGGGAAAAAATGCATTTATCCAACATCATCTTTAACTGTGGACAAATAAATATTTTCATTATTGTATTTTAAATTACTACCAAAATAGTGTATCTTTCTACAAACAACAAAAAACAAGCAAACAGTATTTATAAATGGTTTTTATCTGACAAGAATGTCAAGTATTTGAAGGTACACTCAAATTCTTTTCCTGAATAACGTCACTATGATCTTAAAGCAGTTTAAGCAAAATGCATATTGCTTAGATTTTAAAGCAGGCAATTTTGATATGTTAATTAAAATGTAAGTATACATAGAAACATTTATAAATACTTCTTGGGAATACTCACAGATCAGCAAGTAATGGAATAACTATTTAAAAATGAAAGGTGATCTAATGCTTAGTGGCAAATCCAAAAACATGTTTAAGAGATGTAAAAGGACACAAAGACACTGCTTTATTATTCAGAGCTTGAAAACCTAGCAGCAGAACAAACTATCATTTGCATATAATGTAGTGCAATGAGTATTTGTTCATAAAAGACTCCCAAAGTCTTGAAACTTTATACATAAACCAGAATGGAATCCATGAGGATAAATGATTTAAAGATGTCCAGAGCAGCTTATCAAAAACTGCTAGATACTCTCACCTGATTCACTTGCTCATAAGCAAGCTTATGCAAAACTGTGTTCTGGATAGCTCACTCTTATGGCTCCCCAATAACATGCTCGGATAAGGCAGATCAAGCCTAAGAGATAAGCAATTGCCCACAAAACATAGGTTGCATGAAATCGCCTTGCAAAATCTTGGGTGCCAACCTAAAATAGAAAGCAATATAAATGCAAAAGGTTAGAAACTTAAAAAAAATGATCTAGATAACTTGTGTTGGGAGATTAAAAATGGTGGCAGAGTAAGTGGCTGCTACACAGACACGCTCCCAGGACCAAACTGGAATTACCACTAAAATACAAAGAAACCATCCTGAATAATCAACTGGAGAACTTGTGTTGGTTCACATATGATTTTTCTGAACAATATTCTTGGGGCCACAAAATCTCTATAAAATGAGTTTGTATACTTTTGATTATCACTAACAGGTTAAAATTATTAAGATGCTGCTGTTATAACTTAAATTTTATGAAGTAAGCAAAAAAAAACCCCAACTAAAACATGTTATTTCTAAAAGGAACTTAATCTGTATAATTTCACCTGGCGAGTGATATGTGGACAGGTGCAACAAAGGAGCCTGGAAAGTAAATGGCAGCAAAGCAGATCAGCCCTTCCTCTCCCCATGATACCCCCATGCCAACTGCTTAGCTTCAGCATCCTCTGAAAACAAGCCACTCACATGACAACAACCTCTGCTTCACTTGAACAAGGAGAAGACGGGTTTTGCAGACCTCCATTGCTGACTGAGTGTTGCTTTGGCTTTGGCCATGGCCAGGTTGGTTCTGGCATTAAGTGAAAACAAATGGGCTTCCCTTAAATGGATAGTAAAGTCCCAGTGCCAAGGACCTTCAGCGGGGTCCCAAGATACCATTTCCCTTGGATGGGTGAGCTGTACTAAAACAGGTCCATGGACTGAACTTCCCCAATTGCCCATAGGCCTACAGAAGGTTCTGGCCCCGGTATGCCAGGCAGGCTCTTCATTTAATTGTGATAAAGTTGAGAGGAAAGTAATACTCACAGTTAATCCAACTCCAATGAAAAAGCACATCATTCCAATGGTAATGTATGCACAGCAGCGTCTTCGTGGAAGAGCACAACCCACTGAGGAGCTGCAAATCATGAGAACAAGAGAATGTTAAGTATTTAATAATCACTCTTTATCCCATCCTTGTGAGTACTCATCTGTGGCTTCAGTAACATACACACTTCTATTTATTTCTTTAACTTGGGAGACAGGACATACAGAAAAATGTCATTTTTAGTGACTAACATGAATCACAATCATAATTAGTGAGTATGTGATATATTATTGTGGCTTTAAACAAAGTTTAAGCCTTGGTCATTGAAAATATCCACACAAAAAACAGTATGGTCAATAATGATCTTCCAATTAAAAAATCTATTTTATTTTTTAAAAAATATATTTTTATAGATTTCAGAGATGAAGGGAGAAGGAGAGAGAGAGAAACATCTACACTAATAAAAGAGAAATATGTAAATGAATTGTCACTTTGTGATGTCTACCAGCCAATCAGAAGTGAATATGCAAATTAGCAAGACAAACATGGTGGTGGCCATGGAGCCAACTGGAGTGGGCGGGAGGCTTGGGTCACCCCTGGCGTTGGAGGAAGCCAAGCTTCCCACCTGCCCAGGCCGGCCACTAAAGGAGGGGCCTGCAACCAGCCCTCAGCCCCTCACCCAGTCTAGCCATGCCACCATGGGATGAGGGTCCCCACTGGAGGTCGTGGCCAGCCTGGGTGAGGGGCTGAGGGCTGTTTGCAGGCTGGCCAGGCACCCCAGTGGGGACCCCCATCCTAAAGGGGGTATGAACAGCTGCAAACAGCCATCAGCCCCTCACCCAGGCTGGCCAGGCACCCAAGCAGGACCCCCACCCTGATCCGGGACACCCTTCAGGGCAAACCAGCTGGCCCCCACCCATGCACCAGGCCTCTATCCTATATAATAAAAGGGTAATATGCAAACTGACCCTAACAGCAGAACGACTGGGGATGACTGGTCACTATGACACACACTGACCACCAGGGGGCAGATGCTAAATGCAGGAGCTGTCCCCTGGTGGTCAGTGCGCTCCCACAGGGGGAGCTCTGCTCAGCCACAAGCCAGGCTGACAGCTGCCAGTACAGCGGTGGTGGTAGGAGCCTCTCCGGCCTCCTCAGCAGCACTAAGGATGTCAGACTGCAGCTTAGGCCTGCTCCCTGCTGACAAGTGCACATCCCCCGAGGGCTCTTGGGCTGCCAGAGGGATGTCTGATTGCCAGCTTAGGCCCAATCCCCCAGGGAGTGGGCCTAAGTCAGCAAGTGGTCATCCCCTGAGGGGTCCCAGTCTGTGAGAGGGCACAGTGACCCCCCCCCCCCCAGTGCACAAGTTTTTGTCCACCAGGCCTCCAGTTCATGAATAATTATAAAAGAAAACACGAACTAGCCAGATAGAAGAGTAAGAGTCTGCTGCTGTTTAAAATGACAGGAGGTGATCCACAAAGAAGTGTATCAGTGACGTAATGATCTAATCTAATAAAAGACAAACATGCAAATTGACCATACCTTCGCTATGCCTTAAGCCATGCCCACCAGCCAATCAGAGCGACTATATGCAAATTAACCCAACCAAGATGGCGGCTGGCAGCCACGGAGCTGGAGTGAGCAGGAGGCTTTGTTGCTCTAGTGATGGAGGAAGTCAAGCTTCCTGCCTGTCCTGGCCAGCTGAGCTCCACTGAAGGCAACAAAGTTTCAATTATAGAAGGTAAATAAATCTCAGAATATAAAAAAATGAAAAAAAGGAGAGGCTGGGAGCTTCCATTGCTGGGGGGCTTGGCCTGCCTGAAAATGGCCCTCAGCCCCTCATCCAGACTGGCCAGGCACCCCAGTGGGGACCCCCCACCCTAAAGGGGGCTTGACCAGCCTGCAAACAGCCATCAGCCCCTCACCCATGCTGGCCAGGCACCCCAGTGGGGAACCCCACTCTGAAGGGGTTGTGACCAGCTGCAAACAGCCATCAGCCCCTCACCCAGGCCATCCACGCTCCCCAGTGGGGGCCCCCATCCCGAAGGGGGTGTGGCCAGCCTGCAAACAGCCCTCAGCCCCTCACCCAGGCCATCCACGCCCCACAGTGGGGACCCTCATCCTGATGGGGGCATGGCCAGCCTGCAAATGGCCCTCAGCCTCTCGCTCAGGCTGGCTCCACCCCCAGCAGAGACCCCCCCTACCCTGATGGGGGTGTGGCCGACCTGCAAACTTCCCCAGCCCTTAGCCCAGGCTGGCACTGCCCCCCAAGGGGACCCCCACCCTGATCCGGGACCCCCTTCAGGGCAGACGAGCCAGCTCCCACCCGTGCACCTCTGTCTAGAGTCTAGACTCTAGACTAATAAAAGGGTAATATGCTAATTAGACCAGACATCCTTCCGGACAAAGCTATGGTGGCAGGGCCAAGGCAGAGGCAGTTCGGGGTGATCAGGCTGGCAGGGGAGAGCAGTTAGGGGGATCAGGCCAGCAGGTAGGCGAGCAGTTAGGAGCCAGCAGTCCCAGATTTCGAGAGGGATGTCTGACTGCTGGTTTAGGCCCAATCTCGCAGGGATTGGGCCTAAACTGGCAGTCTGACATCCCCTGAGGGGTCCCATATTAGAGAGGGTGCAGGCCAGGCTAAGGAACACCCCCCTCCCATGCATAAATTTCATGCACCAGGACTCTAGTATCTTTAATAAAAATATCTGCTAGCCCTGGCCGGTGTGGCTCAGTGGTCGGAGTGTTGGCCTGCTTACCAGAGGGTCTCAGGTTTGATTCCTGGTCAAAGGCATGTGCCTGGGTTTCAGGTCTGATCCCCTCCACCCCCACCCCCCACCCACCAGGTTGGAGCACCTGTAGAAGGCAACCAATTGGTGTGTCTCTCACATTGATGTTTCTCTCTCTCTCCCTCTCTCTCTCTACCCCTCCTTCTCTCTCTTACCCTCCACTAACCCCTTCCCTTCCACTCTCACTGAAATCTGTGGAAAAAATATCCTCACTCCTTGGGTGAGGATTAAAAATACTATTAATAATAAATATATATCTTCACCCTGCAGGCATGGCTCAGTGGTTTGAGTGTTGACCTATGAACCAGGAGGTCACGTTTGAGTCCCAGTCAGAGCACATGCCTGGGTTGTGGGCTTAACCCCCAGTAGGAGGCAGCCTATATCGCTCATCATTGACGTTTCTATCACTTTCTCCCTCTCCCTCTCCTTTCCTCTCTGAAATCAATAAAAGTATATTTATATATATATATATATATATATATATATATATATATATATATATATCTATCTATCTATCTATCTATCTTCTATTTTTCCCTGCTGATATAATGCCTTTAGGCAGGAGATTAGAATAGCTAGCAAGCACCTTTTCTCCTAAAAATAGCCCATTTAAATATAAATTTTAGATTATTTGTAATAGATTATAACCTCTTAGGACATATGCAAATGCTCACCAAGTTATGGATAATTTTAGAAACTTATTTCCTTTCAGAGAGTGATATTAAGCCTAATCATTTAAATTTTAAAATGAAATATTAAAGGGCTTAAAGATTTCCTTTTTGTATTGAAAAGTATAAATATATTATGCATTCATTCATTTCATGGCATGTCTTAAGATCAAAATCTAATTAAGCGAGAATTCTGAAATCTTTAACTTGTTCACAAGTACTTCCCAGAGTATGTCCAATGGCGGGGAACTTACATTTTTTTGCAGTGTGGGCATTTCGCCAGAGTGTTGAACCTCAATTCCATCCACTGTAAAATAAATAAAGAGAGGGCTTGAAAAGAAAAACAACTGAAGACGATCCAATCTGATAGGGTGTTGTTTTTTTTTTTAGCTCAAATGTCACCCAGGATCACAGCCAAGGCAACTGCCTTCCCCACCCTCTCCCTCTGCCTGAAGGAAGCTCGGGATTCCCATCTGAAACAGTTCCCATGACTTTCCCAAGGCTCTGACGCAAGTGGGGTTGCTCTAAAAGGAAGTTGAATGCACTGCTGTGATTAGGGTCATTTCTTTTAGATTTATGTCTCATTCACTCCAAAAGAATACAAACATTTCATGTACCTTCAAAGTTTTCTTTCCTTTAAATCTTGAGGACTTGCCTTTTAAATACATATAGATTCATTACTGAAATGCAGCTATTTATTCTATTAATGTGGGAAACTCACAAAATAAATAAACTAAACTAAATATTTTCAATGCTGTGAAATTTGTAACTTGTCTCAATTGTTTTCAGGCTTTGTAGTGTCTAGGGCAGTGGTCAGCAAACTCATTAGTCAACAGAGCCAAATATCAACAGCATGACGATTGAAATTTCTTTTGAGAGCCAAATTTTTTAAACTTAAACTATATAGGTAGGTACATTGTTATTAACTTAGTTAGGGTACTCCTAAGGCTTAGGAAGAGCCACACTCAAGGGGCCAAAGAGCTGCATGTGGCTCTCAAGCTCCAGTTTGCCGACCATGGGTCTAGGGGAAAACAAGGTAGAGAATAAGCAAATGAATTACCCTGATAGTTAAAGCTGGAAGGGCAAAGAATGTAGTACAAAGGATATGACTGATTACGATCAGCATAATAATAATAATAATAATAATGCGAAGTCCTCGCATCAGAATTAAAAACTTTGCAGCCTGTTCATTCTTCATACACGGAGCATCTCTCATTAATCTGAAATTGAAGCAACAGCCCTCCTATCGGTACAGCCTGTATTCCCCAGTCACCAAACACTGTGTTCTTCAGGAATGTTGAAATCATCTTCAAATACAATATATTAACCCAAAACACCCTTTCCTGATAAAAAATCAAAGTTTATAATCATAATGACCATGCAGATATGCTAATATGGTCCACTTGCCTGCAATGAATATTAAGTGTGAAAGAGAAGCTTTACAAGTTAGTCTTTGACTCTCATATTACTTAGCGATTTCCATCTCGAAGGAAAATATCTCATGCTTACACTTTTTTAAAGTAATAAAAATCATGTCACAAACATATCTAGGTAACTTCTCAATTTGGATTATTCTCTAGAATTCACTACTAGATGATTTTAAAAAAATAAATATAAACATTTTAATATTTCATGTTTTAATTGTCTTTCTCCTCCTATTCAATTAGAAAAGCCCATGAGGGCAGGGAGTGTGCCTTCCTGTCTCCCCAGCACTTAGCCTGTGCCGGAAACTCATTCAATATAGATTTTTGAACAAATAAAATGAACTTACTTAAAATGTGGCTACCATGACAAGGATTTGGAATACAAAACAGAACTGGGCAAAATTCAAGGTGATTATGGAGAGGAGCTCACTGAAGTGAAAAATAAACCTCTTTTGAAGATTTTAAAATGGTATTTCAAAATATGATTTATTTACATATAAGAAAGAAGAAGGTAGCCCTGGCTTAGCTGGTTGGAGCACTGTCCTGTAGATCAGAAGGCTGTGGGTTCTATTCCTCGTACAGGAAGTAACTGATGGGTGTTTCTCTCTCTTTCCCTCTCCCTTTCTCTTTCTCTAAAAAAAAAAAAAAAAATCAATAAAAACATATCCTTGGGTGAGGATTAAAAAAAGACAAAAAAGATAAATATATTTAATGTAGTCAAAGTACTAAATGTATCCATACCTACAGAGTATATCATTCTATTATAAATCAATAGGTAATGATTTTTAAAAGAAATTTGTTAACTACTCTCACCAAGTATATCCTCTAACTTACCTAGTATATCCTCTAATTTATGCACTTTGTCACTGATTTAATCAATAGAATATAAAAGCAAGAAAGAAGATTTATCCTACTAAGTCAGAAAAGCATAACAATTCTGGCTAAATGTAATAAATTGGATAAATGCATGCATTTCCATTTCCTTGCCCAAACCTGACTAAAATGATAGTGAATGAATTTAAAACTGTATAAGACCACAAAAACAAAGAGAATCAGAAGGGAACTGGGACACTGGAAACTAATGTAGACTTGGCAACTGACTCAGTCAGTGACGGTGCGGCCGTCTGCAAGGGCCTGTGTGTGAAGCAAGTGGCCCACAGGGACAGAGCAGTGGTGAGGGGCTGCCAGGGCTTCCCCTGGGTGGTGAGGGTGGCGGTAAAGTAGGAATACGGGTTATAAACTTCCCTTCACACCACAAAGTCAGGAGCCTCTCCTTCCCCAACACATTTGAGAGAAGAGAATTCATTCTGAAAAGAGTTGTGAGTTGAGGAACACCAGGCTGATCAGGGGAAGAATAAGACAGCGCTCTAGAAGCAGGCACAGGTTCCATTCTGCCTTCTGAGTAGTGGGTGAGACCTTCACCCACTACCTTTCTCAGATCCTAGAAAGCATCCTCACAAGAGATCTGGGACTGTTCCCGTAGAAACTTACCATAAAAAAAACCTCACTGACACTCATAGTTGACAATTCTTCAAAAGGAGAGAAGAAGGAGAGGAAGGTAAGGAGTGTGTGTGTGTGTGTGTGTGTATGTGTGTGTGTGGCCGGGGTGGGGGGTGAGGTGGCGGGAGGAGAAAGAAGGAGAAAAAGTTGATTGCCTGCTGCATGCATTGAGATCCCAATCAGGGATTTGCTGTCAAATAAATAAACTTTTCAGTAAAACCTCTATCACAAAAGAAAAACAGATAGAAAAATGGGTAGAAAACAGAATAAGGCATAAAAAAGAACATGCCTCAGAAAAAAATAAGAGCTGCAGAAAGTTGCTATAAAGAAGAGAAAGCTCTTTCTAAAAAATGAAAAATTAATCAGAGAACACAGGGAAACTCTTGGGAATTAAAAGTTAAGTTAGATCATCTGAAATAAAAGTTTTGAATTAAAGTTAGAAGATATAGTTAGAGCCATTTCCCACTAAGGAAAGGAAGAAGCCAAAGGGGAAGACAATGTTTCAGAGAGAGAGAAAGTGATCTTTCATAGAGAAAGGGAACAAAGCCAGCAGAGGGGACCAGGAGAGACTACTGAGAACCAAGAGCTTGCCCACTCCCCCACCACTCCCACAGCACATTGGAATGCCATTCAGAGCCCTAGGCAACATGGAAGAGGAAAGAGGAATATCACAAGGAAAAAGGTCACAGAGAAAGGGTCAGGAGTCAGAACAGCATTGAATTTCTCACCAGTGGGGCAAACCCTTGAACATCTTGAGAGGAAACAATTGTCAAACTGTAATTCTACATCTGAACAAATTATAAAGTGAATGCGAAATTAGATTAAAGCTGTTTAAAAAATGAAAGGGCTCAAATTTATTTTTCTACATCCTTTCTCGAAAAGCTGAGAGGAAGTGCTCCAGCAGAAGGAATAAACCCAGGACCCCACATGGGAGACAGTGCCAGGGACTACAAGATATTGTGAAGGGAAGCCCTGGTGACAGCTGAGAGGCAGGATCCCTGCTGTGTTTCCTGGAGGGACAGGAGTGCCACAGCTCTGTGAAAGAATACAGAAGAACTAATGTTTTGTACATAGAAAAGTAGATTCCGGGGGGAGGGAAAACTAACAAATCCAAGAAAAATGTGAAAGCCGTACAGGAGAGGAATACAGCACATTACTTGGCTCAGCTGTGAGTACCATTTACCTAATGATAAAATATGTAAACACTAAGAATTAATTGAATAAAATATTATAACTCTCCTGGGAGAATGGAATGAGAGAAGGATATGAATGGGGCAGGCAGGTAATATCTAAAATTGTTTCATCAAAAAGAAAAAGGATAAACAAACAATTTAACCCCAGAAAGTCAATGTCAGCAGAGCAGCTGGAAGAAACGAAGTCCTGGGGGTGGCAGTGGGTGCGTTAGATAAGAGGCGACCGCTGTTTTCCCATAAAGCTTTCTATTCCTAGTTGACATTTGGAATTATGTCCACAAGTCACTTCACTAAAATAAAAACTGGAAGAAATAAAGCAAATCTTAAGCTCTGTCACCCTTATGACTGGTTTTGTTTATAGAAACTGCCCCCCAGGGCCCGCCCCCTGCCCTCAGGAGGGCTTCTTCCCAGGCAGGCTCCCCAGGAACGTCATGCTTCCAGGGGCTGAGGAGCCCTCCTGACACCGTGAGTCATGAAATTAACCTGTAAATGTCAAACTTAAGGTTAAAGGTAAAAGTAGCAACTAACTTTTGGTCATATGTAATTAGTTACTTATGCCTTCTAAGTTTTTACCCAATGCTTTATCTAATTACAGATACCAGAGTTCATCCACTTTATTTCAAGTTTATCTTTTTAAATAAGAAAATCTCTGATAAATCCTAATAAGATTTTTTTCTGAATCTATAAACCTGCACTTTGTGCTCCACTGAGAAGGTGAGGATGGGGAGACTCTGCCCCTCACCAGGCCACGGGGTTCCCAGGAGCTTCCCTGGAGAGGCCCTTTTGGCAAATAAACCAAGAGAGGTGCACCACATGCCTGACTCACAGCAGCTGCCGCGCACTCTGGCTGCACTTCCGAGTACCTGACTTTCTTAAAAAGGCTCCACTGAAGTCTTCTGGTCAGTCCACTGGACAGAACCGCTGACCATGAGTGGCGGCCAGATCCATGTGGCCACGATCAGCACTGAGAGGTGAGGTCACTTAGACGTGTCGGCCACTCACCAGGAAGGTGTTCCCGCAGTGCCCGCATGCCACCCGGGCACCTTCTGGTTGGGTTGGCACCGCAGGTTGAGCTGGCTGCTCTTCAGAAATGAGCATCACTGGGCCCAGGTTAACGATGCGCCTGCTGCGGGGAGAGGAACAGCTTCATTAGCCCACCAATGAGCTGGGAGGACAGCAATGAAAACAGGTTCTATTAATTGTTTAAAAATTAAGTTAATAAGCCCAACTCTGGGAGTCAAAATCACAGAGAAAAAAACACTTAGGAACTATTTAACTACCATTTGCAATTAAGTTAAAAACACTTGGGAATGATTTAACTGCTGTTCTTCTAGGTTCAAATCAGAAAGTTACTATTCCCTATCTAGGAAGACAGCTTGAGTGTAGCCAAACACTAAATACTAAATACAGTGAAATACCCCGTGTCCGCCAGGAGCGTGCCCCCAGCCTCCGCTGCTGTCACACCACACCTGCCTGCACTCCTGGCTTCCTAGCATCTGCCCAGTCGGACAGAAAGGGAAGCAGCGGCTACTTTCCTTCCAGGGAGGGCTGTGCATGATGCACTGGTCCAAAGGGAGAAACCATAGGAAAAAACAGTCCAGGTCTTGGCATTCTACAACCTGGCACATCCATGGTGGCATCTGCACATAACTCCAGAACGTATTGTACAGAATGTGCCCTGCAAAGGTTAGTGCACCCACAGCAGGCGCCCAACGGCGCTTAGAACAAACACCTCTAGATGAAGATGAATTACATAAAAGGCAAACTGATTCGTTGTTTTTAAATATGTAAGTTTCACAAGTAACTGACTTATTACAGTGCACCAAGTACATCAGGAAAACTTCCATTGCTCATTCAGGAATATTGTATCTTGCAAATGCCTGTGACCATTAATTTCAAACTATATCATTCCTTTCACAAAGAAAAATAATCCAGGTCCTGTAATGACCATGAGGACACAGACTTTGTTTAGAACAATGCCTGGCACATATGTGCCTTTAATAAATACTTGTTGAATGAATGAATGAAAGAAAGAATGAATGAATCTTCATCTCTTACCAGTTGGGTCTTGGGCAGCCTATTCGCCGAGATGTGTCCTTACAAACAAGGAGACAATTGCAAGGGCATCTAACATACTTCTTCCCTGCCGGGGGGTTTCTGATTGGCTGGACAAGGGAAGGAAATACAAATACAGCAAATTAACCACAGTGCAGGCTGACAAAGCTTGTCTGTGTACAAAAAGCATTAATTCTTTGAAAACGAAGGCTAATGGTATCAAATTACAGTTTAAGGACAAGTGCATCATAAATGCTTTTAAATAGTCTACTCTTGGCAAGCACTCCATGAAATTTGGAGGCTGTAGAGAGTTGATAATGAAGGAAATATTTCCAAATTAGTTTGTAAGGGTCTTTAATATGACAGGAATGTTTAATGCACACGTTCACAGGACAAGGTCCTCTGACTCTCTGGCAGGTGCAAGCGTTCCCTGGGCTCGCGCACCTGTCCAGGGGAAGAGCAGGTTTACTCAGAACAGTGGGCAAAGAGGAGTGTGCGCTGACAAATGTGAGCTTTTCCTAAACTTTACTCACTAGAATAGCAGAAGTGATTCATTTTTTAAAAATATATTTTTATTGATTTCAGAGAGGAAGGGAGAGGAAGAGAAATATAGAAACATCAAGGATGAGAGAGAATCATGATGGGGTGCCTCCTACACACCCTCTACTAGGGATCGAGCCCACAACCTGGGCACGTGCCCTGACCAGGAATTGAACCGTGACCTCCTGGTTCATAGGTTGACGCTCAACCACTGAGCCACGCTGGCCAGGCAGAAGGATTAAGTTTATGATACCTTTTTAACTTACAAAAACTTAAAATAGCTCTAATGCTAGCAATTCTTTTATTTTCTTTAATTTCATAATCAGTTTAAAAGCTTCAATACTAGCATGATGCACTGAGAGGAGAATATCACTCCTGGGCACAACAGCTTGAAATGTGTGACCCGAATCTAACCACAGGGAACATCAGAGAAACCCAAGTTCAGGAACGTCTCACAAAGTATCTTGCCTATAATCTTAAAAAATGTCCAGGCAATAAAGGACAAAGCAAAACCAAATTTCAGATAAAGGGAGATTAAAGAAACATGATAACCAAGAGAAATATGTAACTCTATATTGACTTTTGGACCAGATTTTTATTTTTAATGGAATAACTGGACAAACATGAACTAGGTCAAAAATTAGATAACAGTATGTTAATTTCTTGCATCTGATAATTGTACTGTAATTGTATAAGTAAATGTATTATTTTTATTATTATTATTTTTATATGTTTTTATTGACTAGAGAATGAGAGGCCGCCTTCTGCACTCCCGTCCCTGGGGATCAAGCCTGCAACCCGGGCATATGCCCTGACCAGGAATAGAACCGGTGACCTCTTGACTCATGGGGCAGTGCTCAAACACTGAGCCATGCCAGCTGGGCTGAATGTCTTATTTTTAAAGAAATTCACACTAAAATGTTTAGCAGTAGTTAAGCATCATGACTGCAATTACCTTAAAATATTATACAAAATGATAATTTATTTAGAAAGAGAAAGCTGATGTGACAAGATGTTAATATGTGGGGACTGTGCATGAAGAAACTACGAGCATTCTCTGTATCACCTACTATTATTGTTATAACTTTTCAGTAAGTCTGCACCTGATTTAAAAAAAACTTCCAGCCCTGGTCCAGTAACTCAGTTGGTCAGAGTGCCATCCTGATGAGCCAAAGTTGTGGATTTGATCCCTGGTCAGGGCATGAACAAGAATCAGCTAATGAATTCATGAATAAGTGGAATGACAAATTGATGTTTCTCTCTCTCTCTCAAATCAATAAAAAAAGATTTTAAAAAACTTAAGTAAATAATCTTGCTAGAAATATATAAAAGTTAGCAATAAGCCACCTATAATTTATTAAACATTATATAGAAAACTGAATATTTAAAATTCACAAACATCCAGAATGTATTACTATACTACCTAAAATGTATCCGTATTCACACACACACACACACACACACACACCCTCCTACATCCCTGTCCAATTCTATCTCCTGACATAAAAAGGGCGTGTATTAGCCTTGCTCTGTGTTGTTGTGAAGGTTGTGGTTTTTCATCTCCACAGGAACATCAGATTCCTCTCAGAGGTGGTTGACCTGAGGAGAATGAATCATCGTAAACCTGCGCCATTCTGTTGAGCCCTGGTCCATCCTATCTGCTCTTTTCTATCTAGAATTTCTCCAGAGAAGTATCCAGTTGCCTAGTACCTCCTCATTTCACAAATTTAAGATCAAATTACATGAACATTAGCAAGTCTTATACTAAAGCACTCCTCAAAGACTTTTATTCTTTCCCTGTAATGTTATTGATTCCACACAAGACAATCTGATTGGATACTATTCATTTTCTCTGGAATATTCACAATTATTTGCACTTCTTATATAAGAGGATTAGTAATGATATAAAAATTTCAGCACAACTTTATGTCCAGAAATAATTTATTATAGTCAAACCTCTTGCTGCTGTGTGAGCGCAGCCCTTCTAAGCAGCCAGGCTGACGGTGGTGGCTAAATGCAGAGGGACTTGGAGATCCTGTTTGGACTGTGCTGTTTCTGTACTGGCCTAGCCTGTTCTGTTGATGTCCAAGTGCAAGTGTACAGTTTTAAACTCCTCTTTTTCTACTTATTTAAAAACAAAAGTTTTTATGGGTGGTGTGTTGTGTATTTAGTTTAATATGATTTCAAATCCATCTGCTTATGATTTGAAGTTGTTTAAATGCCCTTGTTTATGACACAGACCAGAAAGGTTGTTTTTAGAAGTAAAGTTGTGTCAGGACATCATCACCTCCTCTGTCGGCCCAGCTGGAGGCTGGGAGAGCAGCAACCATGGCCGGTGGACCTGCAGGCTGACTCCTGAGGCTGTGAAGAGTGCTGGAGAGTTTGGCTGGGCAAGGCACCCTTTGCTGACCTAAACAGCCCTCGGAACATGGGGAGACATTTCTCCTGCGTGGCCAAGGTGACCCTGGGTGGGCAGTGGCCCTAAGCCCTGCCCAGCCGTGGAGTGACAGCCTTGGAGCAGCCAGGCAGCCCGCCCAGCACCGGTTCCCTACATCGCGACTGAGCAAGCAGGGGCTGAGGTGGGAGCCGCAGCTGGAAGTCAGGGAGTGGCTCCCCGTCCCCAGCTCCCATGCAGAGGCCCACCCACCTCGGTTGCATTGGGACTTTATCCTTTTGTCTCCTCTGCCTGGAACAGCAGTGTGTTACCCTGTCGTTTGTGTGGACTGTGCTGTTTCTGTACTGGCTTCTTACAAGATAATTGTCGTGTGTGCTGCTGGCTTGTGAAATCATTCCAGTCCCCATGGCAGACCTGGATAAACCAACTGCTGGCAAAGACGGAATCAGCCCCTGAGCAGAATCTGCTGCCTCTCTCCAAACAAAAACAACGGAGTAGAGAAATAGGAGGGAAAACCACGAATACAAAATTCAAGGAGACCTCTGAGGCACTGGTGGGTGTTTTTTAATTACTGCTTATGTCCAACAACTTGTATTGTTTGCCAACTCCACGAAGAGCACTAAGGAGGTTAATGCTAATGAAATTTACTACCAAGTGTTCAACTTAAACAAACAGGTGGCTTTATAGATGTCACCTATCCTATATAATAAAAGCCTAATATGCTAAGTGCCCGGTGATTGGTCAACTGTTCAAACAATCAAAGCATAATATGCTAATGATATGCTAAGACTGCTCAACCGCTTGCTATGATGTGCATTGACCACCAGAGGGCAGACATTCAACTGGTCAACCAGTTGTATGACGTGCACTGACCACCAGGGGGCAGAAATTCCAACTGGTAGGTGAGCTTGCTGCTGGGGTCCGGCCAATTGGGACTGAGCGAGATGGGCCGGACACACCCTGGAGTCCTCCCGTGGTCCTTCCCCAGCTGGCCAACCTCCCGCATCCCTCCCTGGCTGGCTGGCCCTGATCAGCCCCCATCGGGACTGGGCAAGACGTGGCTGAACACGCCCTGGAGCCCTCCTATGCTCCCTCCTTGGCCCCAATTGTGCACCGGTGGGGTCCCTTGGCCTGGCCTGCACCCTCTCGCAATCCGGGACCCCTCAGGGGATGTTGGAGAACCAGTTTCATCCCAATCCCGCAGGCCACTCCCCTCAGGAGGGCACCAGATTCAGGGCTCATGGCTGGCAAGTGCTGCTGCTGTGGCAGTGTGAGCCTCTCCTGAATGGGACTGATTGGGCCTGAGCCCGCAGCAGGCGCAGTGGGGCCAGGATGAGTGGGAACAGCAGGTAGGAGCTGCAGGCGGCATTGACCTGCGGGTTTCGGCCCGATCCACACAGGCCACCCCGAGGGACCCTGCCATGCACAGATTTGTGCACTGGGCCTCTAGTCTATGCAATAACGTTTTTCCAATGACGTCCTTTATAGAAAAAAATATTTACAATGGAAAAATCACTTTGTAACTTAAGGCTTTATTTTATGACTTTTACATAAAACATATAAAGCCCAGCATCCATGCTTTATGGTTTTTAGAGATACAATAATCACTGGCTGACCTTTTTCATACTTATCTAAAGAGGGGAAAAAATACAAATAAAACAAATTAATTTCAGATTTTAAGAGAGACTGACATTTTAAAAATAAAGACTAACCATAAAAGCAGAAATATACTAAATCTAACTGACATACACTTTACAAATTTATTACTTGAAACTGAAAATTTTAGTTAAAATTTAGTTGCTCTTCCCAAAGTTTAGTAAAAAAAATTTTCCCTTCAAATTTTTTGGACATTTCACCAAATTAATATCAAGCAAATGGAATAAAATACCAAGCAACTTATAAACAACTAGAGGCCCAGTGCACAAATTTGGGCACAGCCGGGGAGGAGATGCAGGAGGTTGGCTGGCAGGCCTGCCCCTGATGGGGGGATAGGGTAGTTGGGGGCGGGGCTGGCCAGGGGGAGGGGCCACAAACAGTTGTCTGGCCGCCCCCGCCCCCTGGTCGAACTCCTGATAGAGGGGACAATTTGCATATTAGCCTTTTATTATATAGGATTTGGCACAAATGTCAATAATAAATTCCTAAAAAGAAAAGCCATACTGACATTCTACAAACATAAAATATGTTTAAGTAATTCTCCACATAAGTACAAAGTCCACATTTGTGGTGAACTTCAGTATATTTTCATTTTAGTGAAAATGAAAATGGATTTCACTGTGATGTGAATAAACATTAAAGATAATCCTGTCTAATAAAAGAGTAATATGCAAATTGACCATCACTCCAACACACAAGATGGCTGCCACAAGATGGCCGGCAGGGGAGGGCAGTTGTGGGTGGCCAGGCCAACAGGGGAGGGCAGCTGGGAGGGACCAGGCCTGAAAGGGAGGGCAGTTGGGGGCAATCAGGCCTGTAGGGGAGGACAGATGGGGGCAACCAGGCCAACAGGAGAGGGCAGTTAGGAGTGACCAGGTCAGCAGAGGAGGGCAGCTGGAAGCAACCAGGCCTGCAGGGGAGGGCAGTTGGGACTGATCAGGCCGGCAGGCAGAGTGGTTAGGGGCAATCAGGCAGGCAGGCAGGTGAGTGGTTAGGAGTCAGCTGTCCCAGATTGCGAGAGGGATGTCCAACTGCCAGTTTAGGCCCGATCCCAGTGGGCCTAAACGGGCAATCGGACATCCCTCAAGGGGTCCCAGATTGGAGATGGTGCAGGCTGGGCTGAGGGACACCCCCCCCTCCATGCACAAATTTAGTGCACCGGGGCTCTAGTTACAAATAGCTGTCTATGGTCAGTCTCGTTTTAGAAAGTAAAGAGCCAAAGGACATATTTAAACTCGCCCTGACATTTTCACAATGAAGTGAACTACAAACACCGGGAGGATCCTTGTATGCTCAAGAGGAGTAGACAGCTGAGAGAAGACAGCAAAGATGAAGAGGTGCGCCATCTCTGTGTCCAGCCTGTACCTACGCTTAAGTCACGCTGTGGAAGTACCTCCTTGAGGGAGAAGAGGTCAGGTAACAATCGATGCTTTTACTGGTGGAAACTCCACTTACTGTAGCCTCATTGCAGACCGTACACTTCACCACATGCTGGTGGAGCTTGCCGTCCAGGCTGATCAGCGACTGGCACACGCGACAGTTTATCACTGGGATGCCCCCAGAATCCGGGCTGGCGAAGGCGGTGTATGGAGGGGGCAGCTCCGCTAAAAAGATACCAGTCACTGAGTCAGTCACACATGTTGGGTTTGAGCTTAGGAAACTGTCAAAAGGTCCCCTTTTCTTTTAGTAACGTGCATAAAACTAGTCAATCTATCATCATTTCAGAGGAGAAACACACAAGGGACTGATAAAATCCAATTCATCTTGCCAGGTCTACCCCAATGACCCAGTTCCTGTTTACAAAACTATACCCCAAATATCAACTGCCCTCCGCACCCATAACGGGGACCTGATTTCAAACTGCCCGGCAGGTCCGGACAGTGACTCGGGATGAAGCAAAGTTTGGATAAAATCCACGGTCAGATCCCTGTGGGCCGGGAGAGGGTGGAGGGGAGGACTGCGCGCTGGGCTGAGCCGAACCCCAGGCCGGGCCGGGGCGGGCAGACGGTCCGCACGCGGTGTGTCCTGGAGCGGACGTGGCTGAGCAGTGTCCGCGGAGGTGGCGGCTCGGCCTCAGTTCATGGCGCTGAGATGCCCGAGCGCCCCGAGCAGGCAGCACAGGACTTCACAGCATCTGTTCTGCACCAGCCACGGTGGGTGCGGGAGACGCGTCAGCGCCCCGAAAGCAGGAGGCCTGGAGGGGCTGGAGGAGCTCCCATTAACACCAGGCACAGCTCCGGGGGGCCGGTGCCAGGGGAGCTTCCTGAGGGCAGAGCCACGCCCGCCCCCTCCACACCCACGGCGGCGGGCGCTCCGATCTGACAGAGCAGCCAGCCGCAGGCCAGCGGGCAGACTCCTAGGCTCAGGGGGAGGCCGCACCCACGCTGGTTGGAGGGGCAGAACTCGGACAGTGGAGAGTTGGGCGCAATATCTTGCCTGAGAAGTTCCCTCTTTGGCGCCAGATGAACTTCGGCACAGTGGGCTCCCCAGCCCCGAGCACCAGTGCGGGGAAGGGGGTCCCCACAACATCTGCCTGTTCAGTTGAGCCAAGGGATCTGTGGGGGTGCCACAGAGGGCTGCGTCTACATTTCTGAGTGGTAGATCTGTCTCCTAGACCAGAGGTCGGCAAACTCATTAGTCAACAGAGCCAAATATCAACAGTACAACGATTGAAATTTCTTTTGAGAGCCAAATGTTTTAAACTTAGACTATATAGGTAGGTACATTGTTATTAACTTAATTAGGGTACTCCTAAGGCTTAGGAAGAGCCACACTCAAGGGGCCAAAGAGCCGCATGTGGCTTGCGAGCCGCAGTTTGCCGACCACGGTCCTAGTGTATCCAGGTTCCGTACCAAGAACACGGTGTCACAGGCTGGGAGAGCAACAGGGAACACGACACACCACCCCGTTCAGGTGGCGAGCTGATCCCAAGGAGGTGAAGTTATAAGCCCCAGGTCAGCAGCTGGGCACTGACAGGAGGGTGGGTCCCCCAGCCAAACCGCGCCTGAGGCAGGTTGTCCCTGAGACCATAATGAGGGGTGCAGTCATGCAGAGCTCAACAAACGTACCTGAAGCCAGAGAAAGGAGCTATGCTTTACATTTAGTTTTCACATATATATTTTTATTCTTACAAAGAAAAAGAGATTAACTTTACAACAACAGCCAGGGAAAGGGAAAAAATCTAGGAATGTGCCAAAACAACACAAACTCTGAAGCAACCTTATCCCGCCCCCCTTAGAAAGTAGTTTCTAATTATGTAACCTGTGTCCCTTTCCAGTTAAGAAGAAAAGTGATTCTGCTACAAGGCTGAGCCAGTTGTCAAAAACAAGACAACAGGCCCCACATGGAGCAACTTATGGGAAGCCCCATGTCACCAAAAGGAGACAATCACACCTGCAGCCTCTCCCGGAAATGGGAGGGTAAACCAGTCAGAGGAGCGGCCTGGCCAGCACTGTGAGGGCATCTGTCATCCCCCAGGAAAGCATCCTGAGCACAGCAGTCTGAGCTCTGCTAGAGGACTTCCTTGTTCCCGCCTCCTTCTGCCCAGAACAGTCTCTCATTGGCACAGCTCCTCAGAGCTCCCTCTATTGGCTGGATGGGATGCTGCCAGAGCCATGAATCACTGAATAAAGCCAATATCTTTAAAATGTACTCAGTCCAATTCTGGTTTTTTAACACTTGAATTTCTTTGGTTCTTAAAAGTTTTCTGGAATGAAACTTCTTTTTCTCAGTGGCTGAACTGAAACTTGTACCTTATTTTGCAGTTTGAGGAGTCTTATCAGATTAAACAAATATATGACAAATGATGAAGTCTACAGGCAGATCCATGAGTATGACCATTTGGTGGAATAATCGAGCCAGTATTTGATCAAAAACACAGATGCGACATAGAGGACATGAAATCTATTATAGGAAAGTTAGTTAAACCCAAACTCCTCCTCTTAACAAACTGTCAAATATTTTGTGTTAAAAGAGTGTCTTGATAAAGTTGAAACATTCATTGATAAGCAGTGAAACACATTCTAGACCATAATATTTAGACAACAGTGAAATATTAATATCAAATGTGCCCATTGAAGGAAGTTCTCCACGTGGCTCCCTCTGGCAGAGTTTAAAGCTGACCCAGAGCAGGCCTGTGTGATTTCTCCGGTGAGTTTCTGTTCCAGTTTGTACCTTATTTCTCAACTCAAGGATCATGTTGAAATATTCACAGCTAAACTTCACTTTCCTGCTTCTTGCTAAGTGTGGATTAAGATCTCAGTAGTTGCTTTTCAAGCTATCGTGTGTTAAATAAAAACGTTTAAACACTACACAAGTTTAACCTGCTCCACAGCCGCTCCAATTCCAGCTGGGACTTGGAAAACGTGTGCACAAGAAACACGATCTGCCCAGATTGTCAAAAACATTGACGTGCACCTCCCAGGGTTTTTATACTTCTCACATCGTCTGGAAAAGATAGATGCACTTGAGCTACATTTGCAAGAGCCATTATGCCCAAGCTCACACTCTCAAGTGGCTTTTAAAGCATCGCCTCCCATTCTCCACACTCCCGACCCCCTTATTGCACCCACACAAGTCACCTGAAAGGCTCACAACAAAGATCTGTGAATAAATTTAATAATTTGGTATAGATCCTCCCTTCTTTCCCCAGTTCCCAAAAAGCTATCAATCTTTTTGGATTCTATCTAGAGAAGAAAAATGGATAGAAATAGACACAGTATTAACTGTGTTACTTATTAAAGTTAATTTCAATCTCACCTACATATACACCAAAAACACCCCGTCTTCCCTGCTCTCCCTCCTCGCTCACCAGCCGCAGTAACAAGGGGGGCGCACTCCGGGCCCCACAGGAAAATGGATGAACCTGTTCCTTTCGCTAAGGCGATTCCCCGACTGACCGAGTGTGGGTGGGTGAGCCCAGGAGACGCACGTTTTTCTCACTAAGCTTTTCAAGGACGGGCGCCCAGGTGAGCCGCGCCCAGGCTCCTCCGCAGCTGAAAGGGCTTGTGACGGACTCGGAGCGGCCGCCTCCCCTTGGCCCGCGTCCGCGCTGACTCCGAGGCGGCCCCCTCGGCCCGTCGGCCCCGCACCCGGGTCAGAGGGTGGCGCGCGCACTCACACGCACCAAGCCCGCAGCGCAGGCAGTGGGCGCCCCCTCCCCACCCCCTTCCCCTCGGACAGCGCCCCTCTCCCCCCCCCGCCCCACCCCCCTGCACCCAGGACAAAGCCCCTCTTCCCCCCCACGCGCAGTTACTCTCTCACCGCCCAGCCCCCGCATAGCCCCCCTCTCCTCTAATGCTCCGGAAAAGAGTACAATTTCCATACCCCCAGTCTCC